CAACAACGGGGCTTAAAGTAAAAGAACATAGTTTTCCATAAAAGGAACATCTCTGAAAAACCCATTCAAGAGCGTCCCACTTTTGTGTCTTCAGTCAAATTGTATTATTTAATAACCTGTTTTGTGAACTGCTCTGTGTGCTTTTTGCGGGCACTACTGACCTGTATGTGAGTACACAAGAACATGCAATAACAAGATAGTGTTCCCTTCCACATGCAGCTGGTCAATACACAGTGTGCATTTATTTACTAAACAATATTTCAGCCTTGGATGCTGGCATGGTGCAGCAAGATGAAGTAATAGGCAGTCTCCTCAGGAAAAAATGATCTAGGAAATAGTTTTAGCTTTTTTTAGTGATTTCGTTTTCTTTTCTCTAAACCTGTTTTTGATGATACATTTTTCCAGGGACGACAGGCTGGGTGTCCAATCAATCAATTTTTTTGGCACAGACTGCGTTTTATTGAATTCTACCTATTAACAAAAGCTGTCATGTCTAATAATGTAAAATGTTTTGCTTTGATCAGATACTCCTCAAAATTAATTCAGGCAAAGTTATTTTATGTATGCCTTAAACTTTACATTAATTTGTTCACTTAATTAGTAACAAAGTTACTTCCTAAAACAGTTCAGTATAAGAGACCCATAAGATAAAAGCAGCAGGACACATCGGACAATAAAACCGGATTGCCTTAATTTTACAATAGTGTAAGTTAAGTGCAGAAACAAAGCCTCACGATGTTGCAACAGACCGTACAGAATTGGTAACCTGAGCAGGTGTCACTCAGACTGCCAAATAGATCTTCTCTCCTACCAAGCACCAGTCTAAATAAACTCTTCAGATTGGAGCGAATCAGCAGACATTGAAGCTGGTGGGTCGCTTTGGAGCAAATTGGTCCTTCAGACTGTAACCAGAGAAGATGTGACAGGTTTGGCTTTTGGTGGCCGTCTTTCATGCGTTGAAGAGGATCGGTGTCATACATGGTGGCCCAGTAAAAACCTCGGCCAGTAGCTGGCGTTCCTGTCACTTAATGTTGGACAATCCAGGACGGAAGAACCCAGCACCGCAGGAGAAGGTTTCATGGTGCTGAATAGCAGAGCTGACATGAACGCAGAATCATTTCCAGCCTGTGAACGCTTCGGAGCATGACATGTTTTCCTGAGGATCTTGTCGTCGTTGGGCAATGTGCTTTGAACAGTGATCTTTCCACAGTTCAGTCCACCTCGACGAGGAAGGGAAGAAGCTTCATAATTAAACTGATCTACAGTTCTAACCTCAAAGCATGGATTCAAATTGTTAAATGACAAGTCTTCCCGTGTTTTTCACTGTCGGTCATTCACCTCCCGACTCTGTTATTCCTGTCACGAACTTCATCAACATCCAGCTGAGAGTCAGACGACTCCACCCATGTTCCCCCCTAGCTGGACAGACAGGCTTGTTTTTGAAAAGAGAGGAAGAATAACATTCTTCTACACCTCCCTGTTTCCATCCTTCCACCTATCCATCCATCACCCTGGGCTATTTTCTCTTTAAACACTGATTTGACCTCAGGTTTCACACCCAGAACAAGACTAAGCAGAGGCACAGACGCCGACATCTATACATACAGGTCGTTGTAAGTGTGAGATGCCTCAGATTCCGTCCCAGCTGGGGTTTCTGGGTAAATACCCTGCAATAGTGAAAGTTCCCACTAGATGGTGGCAGAACCATTTGAAGTTGTCAGACTGAGAGGGAGGCACATCTCATTGCAATTAAGCATATCCCATCTCTCCTCCACATGGTAAAGTGTCCCTTTACTCCCCCCATGACCATCTGATATTGTGAGATCTCAACCGACACGGTAAGAGCATTCTGACAGTGGGGAATGTTTCTTTAAGTATGTCTATATGATCCTTTTGGGCCTTTTAAAAAGTCCCAGGTGTTCTGGGCTCTGCGACATGCTTCCTGGCACTCCCAGAGCTCCCTCAAATGGAAAGATGGATCCCTCCTCAGATTGGGGAATATGTGGTCATTCCCCTTTGGATGCAACAAAAGGCGAACGACTGATATTACAGCGCGGCATACCTTAAGAGTATTACTGTCCCTTGTCTTTCCTCAAGTCTGTCAATCCAATCACAAAGCCTTATGACAAAACCGTGCTGTGGCCCTCTCTGTGAAACACTGAACTGATTTAGTACGGGTCAGTTATCTTGGCACGAGCGCGGTGGCTGTTAGGCTCAGTCTCCTCTTCAAACCGGCCTGCTGGAGAGATTTCGTGGTCACTGCTCGAGGCGCCGTTGCCCTTTCTCTGCTGGTCCTCTTAACCTATTTTATTGAAGTATACAAAGAGATGAACTCCAATTTCAGCAGGTTTTCCACTTGTACGTGATGCTCATGCAAAGCTATATGCAAACGACTCACAAATCTGGCCTACGGAATTGTGCTGGCGCGACATGCTTGCAGGGTTTTCAATCCCATATCTTCTCTCGGTGGAAAACTGACCCTTTTTCAAGTGCTGTTTGATGAATGCACCATACTTTGTGCATCTCAATCCAGACGAGAAATATATTTTTCTGATATGCTCCTGATGGCTTGCTTACCTGCTCACGATTAGGCATCTTCTGGATTGTATTATCTAGATGCTTTTTCCACAAGGTTCCACCTGGGGTCTCTCGGGCCCTGAGGTGAGTTCACATCACAGAATGTCAGACAGGCGTGGTAGCATTTTTCTACGTGGGCTGACTTCATGGCAGGTTTGAGCCTTAACCTCTGTGTGTGTGTGTGTGTGCGTGTGTGTGTGTGTGTGTGTTTGTACACACACGTGGGCAAGGTGCCAGGAAATACTCACTCCTGTACAGTTCTCACTGTGGGGGCTGAATGAGAGATTCTTTGCGAAATACACATATATATTATATAATGAATTTTCAGTCCAATTTTGGCCCACTGATATGGAAGTGAAGTCACAATATTTCAAAAAGTGTGTGTGGCGGACACCACAACAAGTAATGGGGGGTCCCAATGAACTGAAAAGTTGCAGGTGTCTTGACGATCCCTATCTGTGGCCAAGTGTTTTTGAGTCAGCCTTAGCACGGTGTGACTCAGTGTCCACAAAGAGACCGTTTTTACAACACTTATCATCATGGGAGATGCAGAATGTCGCTTATCTCACAGTCGTGTTTATTTTGAGCATTTTCTTCCAGTGAAGTGAACAAGTAACAGGACCCCAAGGCTTTACAGTTTAGGAAACTGAGCTTGACTGGGCCACCGCACATGGGAGCTGACATATAATGGGTCATTAAGCCGCATGCTGTAAAGACCCAAAGGCTCGATCCTAATTGTTTTCCGTTCCCCTTTTTTCAGATAGCGTTCATGCTGGTGGCAGGACTTCGCTTGACTTAGGGACTTGTTGAGGTTTAGTGGCCTTTGAAAAAGCTTGTAATACGTTTAGGAAACATTAGCTGGGGACCTGTTAAAGGTTCAATAAGATGGGCTGTGGCTGAGGCCAGGGAAAGGTGGACGGTGTGTGGCCAAGGGCGTCCACTGAGACCCTCTATTACTTGTACAGATTTCAGCTTTCTGCCACCCTGCTCTGACAGCGCATACAAAAGCTGTCAACAAGTCAAGGCCACTGTCACTTTGAAGCATGAAGCATACCCAAAGACCCGTTTATAGCAAGTTCTTACCTACTTGTGAGGCCTGCTTTTACGGTTGCTTTCAACCTGTTTTGAGGTCTCTCGGGTGAAGCCTTATGTCAAGTTTTAATAAGCGCCCAAAAGTGAAATTGCAAGGCTTCCCAATGTTTGTAACATTGAATTGATGCTGCACTTTTCTTTGATTTGTCGTTAATTATTATTATTTTTTTATATATAACAATGAGGCCTTTTGAGCTCTGCTTGATAATTTGACCTTTTTACCGGGCATTTACCAAACTTTAAAGTTAAATTAAAGCAAAGTCAGATATATGGAGGGGGTCTAAAGCAGTGGTTCCCAACTGTTCCAGCCTCAGTGTCCAGTTTCTCCTCAGTCATGAGTTCATAGTACAGACATAAGATACATTAATACACTTTCCATGTGGGAAATAAAGAGTTGAAAGTAAAATTATAACAATAATAATAACTTGCAGCCTGCAAACAAAGCTCTGCATAAAGTAATACACATTTTTCCAGAAATACTTCAAATCAAAAGTTGTTTTTGTTTATTTATTAGTTAAACGGTCCCACAACCTACTTTTGTACCGCAACCCACCAGTTGGGAACTTCTGGTCTAAAGCAAGTAACGTCTTAGTGTAGAAAAGTTGTAACCACGTCTTAATTCTACTGCTCTGCTCTGCACTGGTCATTATCCTAATGAATACATATTAAACCGTTTCCTCCTGTTGTGGTTTAGGAGTTTATTGTATGCTACTACGTGTGTCTGCATCATCCACTGCAGGTGGAGATTTCAATGAGCCACAGGCTTTTTATGTGTGTTCTACACCCCTTCTCTTCCTGTCCCTGCTCTATCTGGCTTTCCAGTTCAGTGCTATTATTTACGAAGCGATGCTTTTCCACGCCTGTTTGATTTTTCACAGGTCTGTTGCATTCGCTTGCTTACCTTTCCCCTCAGCGGATAAAGTTTCTCTTGTTTCCGCTGGACGCTGAATCAAGTGTTGGGCACCTGGATGTATGTATGTGTGTGTCCCTGAGTGTACGTGTGTATGCGTTCCTGGTGAGGTGATGTTGGCTCATGTACAAAGCAGGATGTTCTGCAGCTTAGAAAAAAAAAAAAAGTGTCAGGTTGTAAACACCTAGAGTCAACTGTGAAGACACACATGCACACTCTGTGAGTCATTCACTTTCAATCGCTGGCTCACCTACACACAGAAACATATCTTTGCTAGTATGGTAGATATTCATTTCCATGGCTACAGGTGGCTATGAGATCCCACAACACAGAACACAGTAGCGGACTGACACTGACACACACGTGCATGCGGCCGTTCTGCCATTTGACAAGCAGGCTCTAAAATCTTGTTCTCTTGCAGGGCTCCATGGCATAAAGCCTGTCCTCACATTCAGCTGGTCCCTGGGGAGAGCTGCCGAGGAACTCACTACTCTGACGCCCCGCTGCCATTTTCCACAGCCTGAGGGGAATCAGGAAGCAGCCGGCAGGAGCCATGCCTGCCCTGGCCACCGGAGCCGGCCACGAGCCAGGTACAGACCCTACGTCCAATCCCAAACACAAGAATCTCTTCACAGAAATGCACTCGTAAAAGAAGCATTTTACTACTTCTTTACGTCCATCATCAGTGCACAAACAGACACACGTGAACAATAGCAGCAAGTGGGATGCCAGCCTTAAACTCAATATATCTTTTTCAAGGCTTTATTGTCATCTGGTTCAGTGGTTCTCAAACTTTTTCTGTCAGGCGAAAAAAAAAAGTCGGGCCCCCCCCCCCAACACAAATAGTCACGTAATGGGCCAAGTTAACATTTATTAAAATACATCAAAATGAACGTGAGCATTCCTTTCAAAACAATAAAAAAATCACTTTGCTAGAACAGTGATAATAAAACAATGCTCCATAAGTCTGTGTGGTCAAAAAAATAAATACATAATACAATTGTGCAATCCCTTTGCTAGAACAATTATAATAATAATACTTTGCCACTTTGCAATCTGTGCAAAAAAATGAAAAGAAAGAAAATGCTGATATTTGGCAAAAAAGTGTGTCTTATCACAGCATTAGTGGCTGCAATGAGTCTGTTTTGCACTGCACATTTCTTCAAAACGGGGTTGCAGGCTCAGTGGCGGCGCCAGAGATTTATTTTGGGGGTGCTGTGGGGTAGCTTGACGTTTCATAGAGGGTGCTCAAACATTTAGGGTTTCCCATTAATGTACCGGTCGCTACAGTGGAATATTCTACTGCAACAATCCGCACGCAAATACACAGTGTACCCGCGACAGTTATAATGAAGGCTCGATAATCAGCTCACGGCATATAGGTGTAAGCAGGGGTAAAGTGGTATTTTTATAGGTGGTGTGTGGACCTCAAATCCTCTAGGGGGGTCCGGGGGCATGCTCCCCCGGGAAGATTTGTTTTTTAAATATTGAAGTTAAAAGCATCAATCTGGTGCACTTTGAGAGCAAAATGAAGAGATCTATGGATACATCTCTCAACACCCATATGAAACAGAACTGTAAACAGATTTACTTTTTCTTTATGGATATTTTACAAATCACTCTCCTTTTAAACTTTATTATTTTTTTACTGTCATATAGTATTTCATACCTGTTTTTCATTTATTCTCTTATTTTTTTATAACTATAATAATAATAATAATAATAATAGCTTGCATTTATATAGCGCCTTTCAAGGGACCCAAGGTCGCTTTACAGTAATAGGGCAAAAACAAACATAACAAAACAAAAGTCAGACAGACAAAACAACAGATCGATTAGGGGCCGAAAGCCTTGGCAAACAGATGGGACTTGAGGGCCCTTTTGAAGGCGTCGAGTGTGGGGATGCTATAATGATCATATAAACGTGTGCCTCGGAAATAATTGTTTATATTAATCGTGACCAAACCGTTTGAGACCCACTGAGATAACTTGGACTAAAGTTAACTATCTAAACACTGAGAGAGTCCTTTAGTTCACTGAGCCTCTCAGTCTGACAGGAGAGGACTCTCCTCCACCTTGTTGTGGAAAAAGCTCCTTATATCCGTTAGCGTAGCTCGCTAGCACCAAAAGCTAACAACAACGATCTCCGGTACCGGTGCGCTCTCTCTCTCTCTCACTCGCACACAAAATGGCTCGTTCCACACACACACAGAACCGGGCTTGAATGAAACACAGAGACCCAGACGTACTCTATCATATTATTTTCGAATCAATAATTTTCCAAATTATGATTTTTTTTTTTTTTTCATAACCATTTTTCCTCCTGGTCTCTCGCGGCCCCCCCTGTCATGCCCCCCACTTTGAGAAACACTGCATTAGCTACAGTGTAGATATGGCAATGAAAAACTTAAGTCACAGGCTCCTCCAACAGTGCAACATGAATATATATATATATAGGACATCAAACCGAGAGAATGTTTGAGATGTGCAAGTAATACAAATAAAATAGAAATAGTGCCAGAAGAGTCAATATACTAGTAAATGGAATATAATATATGGATAAATAATTTGCAAGATGCAAACAGATGAATGTTTATGGATGTTCATGGATGTTCTTCACAGAGTTCAGGTGTTTAATAATTGTATGGCCTGTGGATACGGAAGCCAGGTTTTGTGCCACCACTTAAGTTTAATTTCATATTAGAAATTATTTACTTTGAAACTGTCTTAGTCGGCCTTTTCTCTGGACTTGAGTGGACGCTTTAAAAACTGTGGTTGGAAAACAAACCAGAGTCCATTTTCACTTATTTTGTTCCCTTCCAAATGAAAAACACACCATGGCAAATAATCACATCATGCATATTTACAGTTTTAACAGCAACAAATAATGTCCAAATATACACTCCATCTCTCTGTATGTTTTTCTGTGTGTAAGTGTGTGTGTGATGGCGTCATGTCAAAATAAGGAGAACACGTCAAGCTTGTCAACGCCGAGACAGCTGCCAGAAATCACCACCTCTCCCCTCAGGAGCACTATCCTCCTCTCAGTCTGGCTTAATGGCCGGCTACATCATCATCTCACACACACACACACACACACACACACACACACACACACACACACACACACACACACACACACACACACACACACACACACACACAGGCACACAGAGGCACACAGAGAGACACACAGAGAGAGAGACACAGAAGACCCGACGAGAGCATGATAACAAAAGGACAAAAGGAGGACAGACATTATGTCCCGCTCTGATGGATAAAGAGTGTGTGGGGTCTCTGCGTCCAGACTTTTAACGGAGTTACCGTAGCCCCCGTCGTCCTGGAAATGTGCGCAGACAAAGTAGAAAGCCAGACCGTCAATTACGATTAGAGTCATTTTGTGGCAATTACCGGCAAGGGCTCAGGTTTCCAAATAAAACACGTAAAGACTCCTCTGCTCCATCTCCTCTGATTCCCCCGTGATGGTCCTGTGAAGTTTTGTGCGCAGGTGAAACATGATGAAGATTATTGATGAACGTTAGATCACTGATCTCCAGGCCTGGTGATGTCACACATACTCACAGCTGGCATTGGCACTGCCTGGCACTGTACCAGCATTTACACAGAACTCTGTATTTCTTTTGGAACCATAACAAGGCCGCTTTTTTAAAGAGATAAAGTGTTACTAGCATGTTGGGAAATGGGACATATTAAGAAATGCAAGACATAAACCTTCCACTTCATCTCTTCTCGGCCGATGGAGACTTTTAACACTGTAAAATAGAAAAGTAACATTTTAAAAAACATATGAAGGAATTATTCCTGACTTACTGTATCATTGTCTCCTCAATCTATACTCAATACTTCATAAAAAAGTGGTCTTTTCCTGGATCTCAGATTCTACAGAAAAATATCTCAAAAACCTTGTGATGTCTAAAAGCAATCCTGACTTCATCCTGAATTCCTCCAGGATCATAAATAATAACACGTATCTATTCTCTCTGCGGTTTCCAAGACCAAGAATGTTTAAAAGTTCATGTCACCAGGTATCTGTTGGAAAAACATTCCACTCCAACAAAATCGTAAATCGCAAAAAACTATCTTTTAATTTATTTTAGGTCGAATTGTATTCCCCAGCTAGCAAACAACAGCATCTTATTTATATTTAACATTATTGAGTGAATAACTTAAGCTCAGAAGGACAACAGCAACCTCTTCGACACAAAACATAGTATCCTTCCTTAAAATATGTTATCATCCTTGGTAAATAGAAATCCCAGACATGTTGCATAAGAAACACTCTTTACTGTATATCACTAAACATTGATTTTGCCAAAAGTCACTGTGTTCCTGTTCTTAGAAAACAAATCTAATATTGACATTTAATATATTATGACTGTTAGTAATCATGTCTAAATTCTGTAATTGAACGGAACCGTTTTGCACTTGCTGACGTGTAGTCTCAGTTCAGAGGGCGTCCTCATCAGCTGCAGCGGGACCCTCTGCAGCGTTCTGGGGATTTGGCGTGTAGGTAGCAACACCTCTGCAGACGAGCATAAATCCACAGAGGCTAACAACACCGCCTCCACATTGCGGAGGCTGCCAATAATTACAGAGACATTTCGGGGTCTTGCCAGGACCTTACCGTCTTTTCATTAGCAGCCCTGCCATCTGCAGACCCCGCACACACACACACACACACACACACACACACACACACACACACACACACACACACACACACACACACACACACACGAGGACAGAAGATGAAGTACTGTGCTGGGGCTTTTAACATAATGGGGGAAAATATTATCATTAATTGAACTATTCTTTAGTAGCAGCTCTCCTTTTTCATTCCCAGATTTGGACGAGAGAATGTGTGTGTGTGTGCAGCTCTTATTAAAATGCTCATTATCGGAGTGTTTGGAGAGCAAATACGTGGGTAGACAAATGGAGGGGACATGTAAGACAACACCATCTCTTTCTCTCTCCCTCTCTTTCCTTACTCTCTGTCTAAGCCCAGATAAACAACTTGCCTCCATGTGAATTAGATTTTCATAAAATGTCACCAAAAAGTGATAAAAATCTACTTAAAAAAACTATAAAATATTGGAAAAATTGCTCAATACTACCATGGGGAGTGTTTAAGAAAATGTCCTGGTGATTGGGTTACTCTGAACTCATTTGACTGTGTGACTTTTTGTTTATAATTCTTTGGAAGCAGGTTAATCACAGGGATTTATTTAATGATGCTGGCCTTGCTCAAGATGTTTGAATTTTTGTGCCTCTCCATTCTTCCAGAAAACCCTGCCCCACGCTTTGGACGCCGTTATGTGACATTTTGTTGGCTGCCGTTCTTAGGATCTAATACTCATATTAATTCCTACTGTAACAAGGCAGCCAAGAAAAGACACAAAATGAGCTTTTAATTATGCAAACACTTCAGAGGGGCTGATGATTGGAAGCTTGCGCCACACAGACGTCGAGGCTAAACTGTGCTCAGATTAACCTGAGCACAGTGTAACCCCATTCCAAAAAGCTATGCAGCTGCTCTCCTCCAGACAGCTGCTGTTTAGTCGTTTCTCCT